AAATAAGAGGGTTGGCAATGGGACAACGACTGGCGCCAAGTCTTGCCATTGCATTTATGTCTAAGGTGGAAGCACCGGTGATTGATCTCGGGCCGTTACTCTACTATAGATATATAGATGACTGTTTTGCCCTTTGCCCAACACAAGAGGAAATGGACAAATGTTTCGAGTTGTTGAACGAACAGTCAGAGTATGTTAAATTTCCTCGAAGAAAACCAAAAGAAAACTGGCTTCCATTTCTGAACGTGCAAATTAACCTATCAGAAAATGGCTACATTACGAAGTGGTATCGAAAGCCAAGTAGTAAAAGCATCTTGATTCATTACTTGTCCTCTCACCTCTCTCACACGAAAAGGGCGCTTGTGGGAAACATGTTTCGAACAGCAACCCACGTGTGCGCGGGAAGACAGCAGAGAGAGGAGTCCCGGAACTTGGCGCGGCAAATAGCCATTTCTAATGCCTACGAAACTGTAGCTCGAGATAGGTATAGAGGAAACTCCAGGTACCACAACGATAACTCTAGCGACAATAAGGTTCCGTTTATACTGCCCTTCATTTCAAATGAAATAAGTGCAGCTATAAAACGCTGTTTAAGGAGGGCCGATCTAGACAATTCGGTAACGATAATTGAAATGCCACCGAGTAATCTAAGACGTCAGCTAGTTCGCAGCCGCCTATACGCCCGTCTATGTGCAACGCAAAATTGCATAATTTGCCCACATGGTAGAGACGGTAACTGCATGAGTTCGGGTACAGTCTATCTGATCTCTTTTAAAGCGTGGGAGGACGAAAACGTTGGCGAAACAGATAGACGACTTTGCGTCCGTGTAAAAGAACACTTATTCGGCAAACGTAAACCAAATACTCCACTAGACACGCATAGGACACAGAGACAACGGAGAGGATTTTGAAGTAAGGGTTACGATCCTCGCGCAAAACTCTAGAGGCATTCTAGATTGATTCCAAGAATCCGGAAATGAACTGCCGGGAGGAATACCTCATTATCACGCGTGATATTGGGCAGTATATAAGCCTGTTATTTAGATGAGATGGGCACAATACGATTCTGCGTGAACTCCGTGCGGCTGGTCTCCACGTGACATATCTAGTGGAAGACTCACAGGAAGCGGTGAGTGTGCAAAGACTCTGTGTTCTATGTGATTGAAATTTTCGTTCAGCATTTTCTCTGTTTGGTTATGGAGATGTTTGGCGGTGTAGATTGCAGTCAACTTGACCTTTCCAGGCTCTGAGGAAGGCGAAATCCGCCGAAAGGTCAGATTGTACGTAAGAAATAAAATAGGGGGGAACTGGTTCGTGAGAGGTGATAGGGGAGAGGTGATAGGGGAGAAGTGATACGTGAGAGGTGACAGGGGAGAGGCGATAGTAAAGTGGTAGGGAAGAGTTTATTCGTTGGTTCACCTATCTGGCATATACTGGACCCAGCCTTAAACATTTGCTTAGTTCTGATTATGATCATGAGTAGCGTCTCTGCCTCTGTAAGTGGTTGTGGCATGGAATTCATAAGTAACCATGAGATCAGAAATAGTAGTAAAGCGATTTTTATACAGACTCCTCTCGAAGAGTTCATTAAGTAATCCATTCAAATTTTGTATTTCCGATAAAACATTACTAGTTTGCTCTGCAACCTCCATTTTTATCTGACAGTTCTTTCTAGAGTTCTATGCTAGTCTCTTCTTTTTCTAGGACTGAGCGACTCATGACTCAATACAATATTCTGGGCCGTGCTACCAAAGTGGACAAAAAGTGGGCCTGTGTTACCGCTATTGCTCGATGGCACTGAAAGCAAATATATCTACCGTAAGTGGATGTTTGTATTTCATTGCATGGCATGACGTCATATATATCACACTCTGTTGACCTAAGCACTTTTCGAATTCGATTAGTTTCCTCGCACCAACCAACCATGAAGACCTTCGAATTTTTTTGCGTATGTGTTCAGCTGCTTCTTAAGGATTTTTCGTCTTCATCGCCATTATCGTTGGACGCCGAACGAGCCGAACATCTCTGAAATGCTGAAAAGCCGTGCCAGGGCATTCCAGCGGGGATTAGAGAGAGATATCATGTACCGAGAAGGTCTGGTATCAACTTTGTAGTCCCGGAATGTTGACAGCATTGGTAGGTCTAGTGTGGAGTCGAACCAACGAAACTTTATAGAGGTAGTAAAGTGAAGGAGAGTATTCCAAACTATTCAGCTTCTAACCACCACACTGGCTTCGTGAAAAACTTCAAGCCTTTCGAATTGTTCTATAAGTTGGGTCTATTTGAAAAAAAATTATGTCCACATTACAAAAAAAGAACAGTGTAAAAATCGCAATTGTGTCAAAATATTCGGACTCATTCTACCACTGAAGCAACTATGGGGTTGTCACAAAATCCTGTTGGATTTTGAGCTTTCGATTCAAGGGTTTAGCTTCAGTTCACAGCTAGTTTTACTAGAATGTTCACAACCTTAACAACTGTAATGTGTGTCTATTTCATTGACAAACAAAAAAATTAAGTAACTCCCACGTCCGACTTTCTATTAACATTGGCATTAATTGAATAATTCTTTCTACTTCTTCGTATTTTTGTTAAGCAAACGCGAGGTGTTATTATTCTTTGTTCACGATTAAGCTGACGTTTCGGCCGATTTCGCCTTCCTCAGAGCCGCTTCCTATGAGGTTTCCACTAAGTATGTCACGTAGATATTGTAATGTAATGTGTACAATGAAGTATAATGTGTATAATGAAGTACATTACACTTCCACGTGATTTCTGTGCGGTTGGTCTCTACGTGACATACTTAGTGGAAACCTCATAGGAAGCGGCTCTGAGGAAGGCGAAATCGGCCGAAACGTCAGCTTAATCGTGAACAAAGAATAATAGCACCTCGCGTTTGCTCAACAAAAATACGAAGAAAATCACTTGATCAATGCCGAGGTTAATAGAAAGTCGGTCGTGGCAGTTACTTTCTACTTCTGTTCAGCAAACACGAGGTGTTTTGTTACAAGCGCGCAAAACTCTCGAGACGTTCTGTATTAATTCCAGAAATCCGAAAACGAACCGCAGCGAAGAATGCCTCATTATCACGCGTGATATCGGACAGTACATAAACCTGTTATTCTGATGGAAGGGGCACATTACGCTTCCATGTGAATTCTGTGCGGTTGGTCTTCACGCGACATACTCAGTGGAAGACTTGTAGAAAGCGATGAGTGTGCAGAGCTCTGTCCAATGTGATTGAAATCTTGGTTTTGCGTTTTCTCTGTTTGGTAATGGAAGTGTTTGGCCGAAAAGATTGCTGTCAACTTGATCTTTCCAGACTCTGAGGAAGGCGAAATCCGCGGAAACGTCAGCTTGTACGTAAATAAAGAAGCACACCAACACCTCGTGTTTGTTGAACGGATGTAGAAAGAGTAACATTAAGTTTGGTAAAATGCTGTGCCTTTGGGTTCCATTTTATTCTTCTAATGATATTTTCAACAATTGGTTAGACTAAGAATCCCAGAAAAAAAATTGTTGATATTCTTGAGTATGCAAGAGGTTATTAAAAGTCAATGAGAATGGTACTAATTGACAATATCAGCCCTTTCAGAGCTAGTTGTGAATAATGCAGTAGAGTGTTGTCGTCTCAGAACTGCTCCCTTCGGATTGGTCAGCTGTGCTAGAAGATTTCGTCGCTCTTAATACATCTTGTGGATTTCCAGAAAACTTTGCTGCTGGAATGGTTTCGCTGGTTTCGGTAGCTTAAAATAGATAGCAGCATTCGCTAAACGCTAGGAACTTATGAAAACCTTCTTTTAACACAAATTTGACTTTTAAAAGTGGTTCACCGTCATAACTTTTTCTAATTTTGAGCAAAGCGGCCTCAGTTATATGCTGAGGAATCGTTTCTATTGAGCAAAAGAGGAGTAGAACAAGGTTCATAACGGATTTCTTTTGTCAAAAGTTCAATTCGGGCACCAAAAACTTTTCTACTATTTGTCTACTTTTCAATATCTTGCAATTCGGCTGGGCTCTTAAACTGATCTTGTACAGAGACTTAGTCCTTCTGCAAGTTCTGGAATTCCTGCGCAGGTGTCTACTTCATGCACAATAGAGCAAACCTCATGCAAATTCACACGCCTTATCTTTAAGCAACCTTCTTAGTAGTAATCCAAATCCTTAGTATAGCCTACGATCTCAAGAAATAATATTAGCTCAAGAATTTATATAGTGGCTGAAAATAAGACGTAAAAACTTTAAAAGATAAAACGGACTATCCTTTCGCGACACGCTAATGTAATGGAGCTATAAATCCTTTGTATTATAGAAATATGAGCATTTAGACATCATGGAAACTGAATGTCTTGCGACCAACGACTTAATGGAATTCTCTGAGAAGAGCTAGTCACATGCAACGGCGATAAAGCCGCGTCCAGAACGCCGGCGTCGTGCCGCACTTGTTGTGGAGAAGTTCCTCGCCTAGGGTGGCTCTGATTTCCCTCATCTGAATCGGCGTGGTGACCACCCATAGCGCTCTCAACGCAATGTTGATTTCATCGCCAATTTAGTTTTTTCGTCCTGCGTCTGCGTTTCGCATACACTATTCCTAACCTCTTTCCGTTGAAATATAGCTGTTTTTACTGCCCATCTGTCCACATCTCCTCCCTCCGAATTCGTGCTGATATTTCTGGGAGACATTCGCCTTTGTTTCCACGATTACTGTGTGTAATGAATGTGCACTCTCATTTGCAGTTATTTATTCGAACGGAATGGCTCATGGGAGATCAACATTGTATCTATATATGAACAGACCGACGGGGGATTATGCTCGTTTAGGAGTGTATCTATGAGATACAGTATGCAAGGTCTTTTAGTAACCCATGCGCTGAATGCAGCAGTTCTTGAAAATTTGGACTAAATGACGAATGTAGAAAAATACAAGAGCAACAAGACAGCTCACTAGCACCGGAAATCAAGGTAACTATCAGTAAGCACATTATTAGAGTGAGAATACGTCAATGATGTTCATTACACTAAGACAATAAAAAAAGAGTGGAGTACATTAAAAATGACATTTTCAACAATTATTTCAAACACTAGAAGAAAATTGAAGTATTTATAAGCAAATAAAAGATTTCAATCTTGTATTCGGTGACTGAGATATCAAACCGAATCTTGTCGCACCTCAGAAAGCAGCGGCGCTTGGTGGCGCATGATGAATGGCGATAATGGATTGGCCAGGAGATTGCTGGAGCAGTCGACTAAATTTTGAGACGAAGTCTTATGCGGACATGCTTGCAGAATGGCGGAAAGGTTGAAAAACGTCTCGGATGTGCTCGACGGATCGAGGATGGACATGAGTTGCTGATAGCCGATTGCTTGTTGGGTACATTTTAAGCACACCGCTGAAATCCAGTGCTGCAGTTCAAAAATTCATTCACCAGCAACAAGTTTACTAAATTTTCAAAAGCGCTAAAATCAGTTGAATTCCAAAACCTAAACTCCAACTGAACACACCATAGTTTACGAAAAATTAACCCAAAAATAAGTTTAATGACTGAAATAAATTGAAACAATAATATGACAAGTCGCAGGAAAATTTAAGCTAGCAGTGGTGAGCGTCTTGGACTTTGATTTTGTCTTCAGCCAATCACAATTGACAATTGTTTAGCAATTTCAAACTTTCTTTCTAAATATATTTTGAACAAAGCTTTCCGCATATGCATATAAACCCTGTTTATCCTTGCTTAGGAGATCTTTAGTGAAAAAAAGTTGAATGACTGTTTCATCCACTGATATTGTTACAAGCTTTACATCAATGACGTCATTCGCAAGAAGTCGGCTTAATAAAGAAAGGATTTTTATGAGGGGAAAAATGTGATTGTGGTCGAAAGCTCAGCCGTACTCACTCAAGCATACTTCGATGCAGTTTCGCGCAAAGCAGCTCTCCGAAATCAGTGCGTAGTCGGTGAAATATTTTGGCCATGAAGGCGCTTAGTCAAGTTTCTTGGGATTCTTCAAAAAATTAAGCCTTTTGGGAATCTTAAAATAGTAGTTTGGCTAGGTTTACTAAACGAATAGTCGAGAACCTACCAGCCGGACGTTAAGAACTATCAGAGAGTGTAAAACCAATAGTTCTAAATCTAACTGGCTAAAATAATTACGATGCTTTTCTAAACTTTTAAAGTCATTTTCCTCTTGCCTACTCCTTTTGGAAGTAACTTCCTGAAAGGAGGCCATATGTCTTGCCATACTTTTCAAAGTGCTTTGAAATTCAATGGGCCAATAATTTTGCGCGATCTTCGTTACCTTCTAAATCGCAAATGATTAAAATCGAGACAAAGGCAGAAATTACTATTGTTATAATGCCCACAATTTATTAAAATTTGAAAAAAATAAGACGTTCAAAGTGACAACTTTGCTTTTACTGATTCCTGTTATAAGTGAAAGACGTTAGTCTTGAAGGCCTACATAGTGAAGGTAGAATAGAAGTTTATACGTACGTGTACTGCTTGCCGATGAGCGTGTTCCACCTTCTGCAGAAATGTTCTTTTCGCGCTTTTGACGTCGTCGCAGCTTTATTTGATCGGCCATCAATTTTTGACGTTCAACCACCACCTGTAGCGAAAATTGAGCAGCATAAAAACCTCTACTTTCGTCGAGGCCCATCTTCTCTCTCTTTAGCCTTGATAAATGACTTTCGACACCGTTAATTGCCTAACGTCTTCAAAAAAGCTGCTTCAGCAAGACGTTTCATCGTAGGCGTATCTTATCTTTGAACTGCGTTTTTCGATGGTTACTTCGGTCGTCGCTATAAATTGCCGTGTGATTCAATCTTCTATCTGCTAGTTCTAAAGTACGTTCACCACCAATTAAGGCTCTACTTAACTATTACGCCAGAAGTAAAGAAGATGTCCAACAAACCAGATTTTAGTTTATTCTTATTGAGCTTGAATGGAATTCTTTCATACTGTCAAAAAACGTAAGAACTACTAGTCTCTCGAAAAATACATTTTGTGGCAATTTCAACCTAGCCTTTTTCATTTTCAACTTGACACAAATAAGTATTAACGCTCTTCGACAGCTGGGCGAATCATAAAAATTAATGTGCGGCACCTGACATTTCGGACAGAAACATTCCTTGAACGGACATGCCCTTTTGTGCCCCTTCAAGCGGTTGACGACGTTGTGCTGGGCACATCGTTGGCAGTTCGGACGGCGCTCTTAAAAGTTAGGACTGACGCAGTGTACCTTCAATTCATTAATCGCTCAATTTTTCTCAAAAAAATCCCATAGTTGACGGAAAATCAAGATTAGTCTATTCAAATTAATATTTGGGCAGCCAAATTTTAAGAATTTGTCTCATGTATGACATCAGATTGCCGCCGACAGATGCATGATGGACTTCGACTACGCAATGTCATAGGAAATGCACGGACTGTGTGAGCGTAAGTGGACCCACATTGTGGTCCACACTATGCTAATGCTAAGTTGAATTCTACGAAACACTCATCTCCGTTATGTCTTCTAACTAACGAATTTTGTTTGCTAAGGGTAGACACTTTTGTATGAACCCAAATTGCAGGATATAAGGAATACCTGCACGCAACGTCTCAGCAAATTGGCCCGTCAAAAACAAAGATTGTAGTGGGCCATTGAAATGATTACAGAAATTCTATTCTCAGTGGTTGATTTAATTCCACGAATCAGTGATTTACTGCTTCTTACTGACTTGAGTTTCGAGGTGAAGTGCTGATGTGATTCGTTCGACAGTAAAGTCAGTCAATAGAGGAACGACTTTGACATTTTCACCCAGAATTTAGCTTAGAGAAAACGAATATAAAGAAAGAATCGCCATCATCCTAGTCGGAACCCCGCCGTAGCCTATCTAACTTTCTTTATTATCACAAGCGACAACAATTACGACATGGAAACATTTTGTTATGTCCTTTAATCCTTCATGCAGACACCCAATGGAACTGGTTAACTCAAAACAAGCCATTTTCCCATAAACTTACCTCCACATTTGTAGTTGTGTTTCTAATGCTTTAAATGCATATGACAACACTTGTTTCTGGAAGGTTTAGGCTTGCCAACATAATCTATTAGACGGAAAAAAATTCACCAGACTCATAAAGCATAGCAAATGGTTTAGACACTTCTAAGGCCATTTCTTAATCGGAACCTACTTGCCGAAGAATCGCGCTATTATCTGTGTGCTTGTGGACTTGTCCTAACGTTATGTCTATGCCGTCTTTCACAAATGCGCAATAGTTGCATGGGAAGTACTGGATATTTTCTAAGTAAATGTGAATTCTGAAATATCACTGCTTGAATACAATACTCTTCGACGGCAGCGTGTAGGTGATGTTATGTTTTACAATTTAGTAAACACTCTGGAAGAATTCATTTTCCGGTCGAAACTTCTTAGGAAGCAAATCCATCAATTTAGATTTTGTGGGAGAGAGGGAAAGTTGTAGAACACAGTAGTAAATTGTTCCATTTTGCATCCAGTTAGGACCACCGCGTATCTTCCTCGTTGTTAAAAATGAACAACGGAAAAGGATATATAGCCATGGTGGACAGTATCTTTCATAGGAAAGCCGACTAGTAATCCAACAGCACACAGAAAATGCCTGACGAGGTCGCTGAAGATTTGTCGTCAATGAACTGCTCATAATCGCCGCCGCGACTGACGATGGCTTCAGTGTCCAACCGACACCTGTCAAACGTTGTTCGCGGTTCATTTTACAATGACATGTGTCGGTAATAATACGCTCAAAAGAAACGCCATCATAAGTTAGAAATATGGTAACAGCTGTTTCCTTCAGATTCGATTCGCTTTAAGTATCTTTCTCAAAAGTTATTGAGAATCTCAATTACTCACCCAAACGGGCTCAATATATGGCAAATTTCACGTTGTCAGCAATAATCCGTTATGGGATTTTGTCGATTAGTGATATTCATTTGTCGTGGCCAGTAATTTGGTAGAAACGCTAAGAAAGCGAAGCGATCGAAAAGTGCGAAAGAATGGCTCAGTGGAAGCAATAGCTGGCCACTCTTGCCAACTATGGATTGCAACAGTTCTACGAATGCAAGATCGACTCACGAAGAAAAAAATAACAATGAAACGAATAAAGAACGAGGTATAAGAAATGTGCAATAAAGCTGTTATGAAAAATTGTCTATTAACCTATAAATTGTGCAAAACCCCCGGACTGAAAGTCGGCTAAAAATTTCACTGTTTAAATTCGGAAACGGATGAAGTATAGCTAAATCACTTTCGATGTTTCAGTAACTTAGGCATATATCATGCAGAATTCCTGCAAAAAGGAGGAACATCATAGATCCCTTCGGTTCCACCACTGTTGTTTCCCTTAAATTTTTAAAGTTCTAAACAACCTTAATGACTTAACGCTCATTCCAACCACTTTCATTGTGGTCCTTTTAAGTGACGCTGACGCGTTGGGTGCTTTCGAGGTGCTTTACTCTCGAAACTACCACAGTAACTTCCCGATTTTTCAAAATCCAGATAATGAGTGAGAAGAGTTGCACTCAGTACAAACATTTACCGTCTGATAACATAGGTCTCTTACCTTTAGCCCTTACTGTCACATCTTCTGCGGAGCATTGAGACTCTCCAAGAATCTGACTACCCGGTTCGGTTTCAATTTGTACAAGCTTGCTGTTCAGCTCTCGCCTTCGCTCCACCATCTTAACAGATGCTTATATGTCAGAAACTAGATCACATTCAGAGGTTTAGGCCGAACTGATTAGCAATCGGTTGATTTCACTTCAATAGTGTGTGAAAACATACTCTAATGATGTAGGAAGACACCCTGTAATTATGCACACGTGTGAAACCATGTTTTCAGATGATTATTTTCTCTTAACCGTTAAGATAATGCGTGGGTTTCATGTCATTTTAACCCATCATTCAAAGCATTGTTGCCCTTATTTTCTAGTGTGCTTCGCTTTGAAATCGGAAGGGATTCGAAAGATCATAAACAGACTAACTATGCAGTCGGAGCACTGACACATGCTGTAGACGCAGTGTTGCTTGTGATTTTTGCGTTTTTCTCGAAGTCCATGGTTCAGACAGCGCTGACAGTAGTATACTCGTTTCTCGCCGAATAACTCTGGCACGATGTCCTCGATGTTCATCTGTCATCCACTAAACGTTGCATTAAACTAAACGGCGGAATAATACTTTTTCTAAAAGATTTGTTCTTCCACCTGCCATAAAAAACTTGGTAAGAGTTTTAGTACTGAATGCAGTCCAGATTAAAAGAGCTACTCCGCCTAGTAAGTTCAGTAAAACTTTATAATGAAAGCAAGGAGAAAAATATTTCGAATAAAACATAATATAACAACAGTAATAATAAATAATAATATAAAATAATATAAAACCCTAAAATCGCTATACTTGGCTAATTGTGCCATAACTTGGTTTTGAAGTGAATCTGTCAAAACAAGTGCTATCGTTCAAAATAGGAGTAATACATTCAGCTTGCATTCGTATTTTCAAGGCTGACATGCTTGAATCGTATAAGCCATAGCATAGTCGGAGAAAAAAATAAACGCCTTGGATTCCCGCTTTAGCAGAATTTGTTGAAAACTTTTTCGTTGTTCGAGTTTAAAAAGATGCTATCGAACACGTTACTAATCTAGTAGTCAGCTGAACCAAATTCAATGACAGCGAAATGTACATGCCTTTTAGAATAATTTACAAGACGTTTAATTAAGGCTACGAAGAGATTGTTTTCCGCTGACACTAATAACCACGAATAAGTGGACGAGTTTTATGTCGAGAAAAAGCGCCGATAGTCAGTATAGATGGAACGAAACTCACGAACTTTAGCTCGGCTATTATGAGTATGAATAACCGAGAGTGTCTGTGACTGAACTCTTGTCCCGCTATGAAACTACGGTAACCACGCCCCTTTCTGTCTGCTTATTGGACAGCGTGCAACGAGTACAGAAAGAGAGATATATGGGCTTACAAAGCGTTGACGGCAGTCAAAAAAACGCAGCCAAAATGGAAGAAAAGTCCTACATTAGTTTAAGCGATTAGGGAAGCAGTAGCAGCAACGATGCATAACATGAAATGATCCCTTGTGACTTATAACGATGCAATTTTTTGAAGTTGAAAACCGCATGACCTGTAGCGGTGAAATATTCTCGGCGCAGTAGCAGCATGGTGAAAGAACCCCGCTGCAGAATTTACTTTTCCATATTGGGCTATAGCGGAGTCAAGCTGAAGAACGGCATTTTGATGAGTTGAACTACAATGTCATCATCACTCTCTAAGAATCATAGAATACAGGACATCATCTTTGATTTCGAGGCCATTCCTTCCATTTACTTGCAAGCGTCGTCTATGAAGGTGCCCTACTAAACGCACCTTAACATATTCGAGTATATGATTTATATGGAGCAGAAAGTACGGATTGCTGACTCAGAACACACCCGCTCACCTTGCTAGTTATCTCTCTAGGGAAAACGTGCGCGCTTTTTAAACCTCTTATATTGTTCCTTTCACTTTTCTCTGCTCTTCTCATCATCTGTAGAGCTAGCGTCGACGTCTCTAATTACATCTATAGTTCATCAAACACAAAACCAAAATGTTTTTTGAGAACTCCAACCACAAGGTTCGTTTCAATGTTTAAATTTCACGATTGTGCACTTGTCGAGTTTTCATTCAAACTGGCACTCATATCCTTCTAATGTTCTTAGACACTTAAGACGTTGTCGATGTTGCTGTTTCGCATGACGCCCATCGTAATTAGCCGCAGCAATATTTGTCTGTGTATCACGTTATCCTGGAAGTCAATGAGTCCTCTTGTCCCATTTTTATCAATTCGCTGAATTCTTCAAGCACAGTCCGTGAATCCACTGCTGCTTAAATAATCCGAGAAATTCTTGGCGGTGTTCATAATCAAAACAATGCGATGACGTCCATCAAGAAACGAAGGTGTGAAATTGCATTTCCATGAGCATGTGCATATCTTTCTCCTCAGTCAACTGAATCCATTATCCATTGCGGGCGGAAAGCGTCAACCAGAGTGCGGAATGGTAAAGCGCCTTCACCGATAAGGATATGAAGAACAATTTCACCAATATCTGCAGATTAACTTTCCATTAACATTAGCATTGACCAATAAATTACTGCCCTCTTACAAACTGTTCTGGATCAGCTGACATGAGGTTGTTAACACGACATTGAGTTCACAATAGCTTTCTTTATTGTAAAGCGCAGCAATTCGCGGCAGAACTTCATTGGACTAAAAACAGGTATATATGTAGTGAATACAAAAGTGCAGAACAGACCTTCGAAGCGATTGAGCGTTACGTTATTGTTACTTCGTTGAATGCGTTTTGACATTTTTATCAAGATTTCCTTGGTTACATATTCTCGTGCAACGACCACAGGAGAACCACCCACTGCGATAAGATATTTTTGAAACTTTTTACTTCTAATTTGACGACGAACGTGTGGTGTACAGGGACTCTATATTGTTGATAACTTCCAGTTGCAAGAAAATCGGCTGGGTTTTTATATCATCGGGATACGACGCTATTCAAACACTAGAGCTCTCCAGGTTTGCTGGATTAGCGAAATTTGATTGCATTCGCCTCTATGGAGTCCCTCTAGAGCATTTTCAATCCTCTTGGTGGTGTTAGAGATGCGATCATCGTTACATGATTGCCACTTTGACGGAGTTATGTAGGACTTTTATGAATAGTTCGCAGTCATCAGCTGTGTGTCTAAGTGTATCGAAAAAAAAGTTCAGCTCTTTTCCTACAAACGACATTTCTTCTCCATCTCGATCGATGACACGGTTTGCTCTAAAGCCCACAACTGTGTTAGGTAGCAGTAGGAGCATTCAACACCAAATAATGGAATCACAGATTCAAAGTTCTCATCAAAATTTGTTTGTTGCGAATGTGGCTGATCTTCGCATAAATCGAATCGTTTTAAGACATCCATCACCAAATACTGTGTTCTTTCCAATAAGACTCAAATTTTCTAAATTTTGGAACTTCCCGTTTCTGCATGCTGGCACCGATGCCTTTCCTATTGTGACGTTGAAGTGTTCGACAACAAAGTTGCGGAAGGACTTTTCACAATTCAGCTCTTTTTCCATGGCACAATAGAACGCATGCAATTCATCCTTACCAGCAATGATGTACTGTTCTCAAGAAGAAGATCACTGCATGAGGTGACATTTTTGATGTTGTACTTAGACAGCAAAAAATGTTTTCCAATGCGTATATCAAAAGTACTGTCATGATAGCAAAATGTTGAATTTTATCTACTCAAACACTTCGTCACCCATTCTCATACAACCTGATGGCGCATACGAACTCGATGTACAGAGTACTGCAGTCGGTTGGGCATTTTTGAACGATGTTTTGACTTAACCGTACAGAGCATCATCAAGTCGGAGGAAAATGCATTATATATGCTTGAGGATTGTAGGAATTCTTGTGCTGCCTTACAAATAGACGTCTGACTGACAAGTGACAATTCATGAAATAAATTTCCTGTCATCTAGGTTTAGCGACGAAATCTTTAAACTTCCATGAGAGCTTACATCAGCTGATGAGTCACTGGTCCACATTACAATTTGATATCCAGAACACGATATTGCAACAAGAATTTAGAGAAGCGTTCTTGTTCCATTAAGTAGAAAGTGGGTTATACTAGATCGATTCATACAACATAAATTGAATGGAAACGTTAACATATGGAAAGAGTGAGTCCTTCTTTCAGTCATGAGCAGTCATAATAGAAGTTCAATAGGTGATGATCCAAGTTTAAGCCTCAAAAAAAGTCCTTAAAGAAAAAAAGCGAAGAAATCCGCAGTGATGGAAAAATAGCAAGAAGGACCTCCTAGTGATTGTGACCTTGGTCGTGTCAGAGTAAAAGCATGTGTGCTGGGGGTGTCTTTGGAGCGAACGCCTGTGTTCAATGCGCAATAAATGAATCGCGGAGAAAGGCAAAAAACGAACGCAGAACGACCTCCCGGAGCCCCTGGACAGCCCTCAACATTTGCATACGATTAGCGAACCACAAGTGCACTGGCTTCTATCTTTAAGCTAACTGCGAAATCGTTAAGAATACTTCCAATCTAACAGAGCTCGAATTTGTAGAACAGTAAAAGTTATGACATTTCCAACTTATTAATCAGAATTTTGTTTCTTTTACCAAACATCTGAGCTCTATTTGATGCGAACTCGTTGAAGGGAATAAAGTTAGCAATTGCCAGGAAGGAAACCAAATCCAAACACGTTTTATACAAAAAGCCGAACATGTACCTCGACTAAACCAAACTTCTATTGACATGAATACCCAGGAGCGCAGCGGCCGAACGGCTCAGATAAGAGGCAACTTCAATGATAGAGTATTCGGAAGCGTCGAAAACATTAAGATCGCAATTCGATCAGAAGCTAACTTTTTTCACGCATTGTTCACCACGCAGTTTAATTTGCATCAGTTCATCACTCCTTCGTTTATTTCTAAGCATGAGAGAAGGCGAGTTTCATAGTAAGACTTCATCTACTCGAGAGTAGAAATCGATTACAACTCTCGTCGACTTTCATTGAAGGTTTTTCGAGTGTGGTCGGAAATGTTGTCGGCGATGTGTTTCTAGAGTTTGTAATCTATTCGGCAATGGTGACACGCGAATGACCTTGGTTGTTAGCCACACATATGCACACGCTCGCAGACACACATACAGGTGCGGCGGAGGTGTTCTTTTTCTGGAGACTTTTTCGTTCGGTTCAGATTACAAAGGTGATAAAAGTCTCTGAATATGTTTGTGAAACATGAATTTGCCAAGGCCAACACATTGAAATGAATATTACGCGACTCGCTCGTGAACATTCGTCCTTACCTTATATAGCAATGAAAAATTATGGGAGATTGTGAATTCGGTATCATTTCGCGTCGACTCGATTCATCAGCACCAAAATAATCGGCGATCTCTCCACACTCGAACAATCAGATGAGAGTATCCACTGAATCCTTGACGATTCATGGGAGGGAACTGGATATCGTATGCTTGCATATCATCAACTTGTTGTTGATCATCAACAACAAGTTTGAATCATAGTTGCGTAGGACAAAAATCGTGCCTTCACATTTTTTAACAGTACCG